CCCCTCCAAAACAATAAACAAGCAAGCAAACTTTGGACTGAAACCAAGACAACATATTTGTTCTTAGAGAGAAAACTGTTGACCTTGGCAAAGGTGTCATCTCTGGGACCCTTGACCATCTTCTGCCATCAAATAGACTGCACTAAGAATTAAATGAGAAGAAAGGAACATGGATTCTATGTGTCCATCACTGGGGCAGCTTTGGAGACAGTTGTGAGTGGTCTACAACACTCACCTCAAACATCTTTTTGAATTATAAATATTTAAACTTCTAAAAAACAAATAAAATGAATGTTGCTATTTAGAGTTTCCTTTGTGACTCCTGATAGTGAGAGCTGCTAGAAGAGACCAAGTACACTGACAAGCTTAATCCACTTTCTTAGAAGCCTGTCATCCATTTGTAAAGAGATAAGAGTGAAGCACCAGGCATTGTTAGCTGAAATACTTCTTTTCATTTGCAAATTCCAATGGTTGCTTTTGCCTGTATCTCAAGTGGAATCCAGCAACTTTCTCCCCACAAACTAAGAGGAGGTCAAGAAAAGAAAACAAGGTGCACTTAGAGACAGACACAGTCCAGGATTTCATGTGGACGACACCCACTTAGAACATGTAAACAAATCTTGGGGTGGCCAGGAGGACAAGCCTGGATCTTTACACAGTGAAATTGGATGCTATCCCAGGTTTCACCGTGACACACTCATCCTGATCACCCAGAAACACACAAAAGTTACCTGTTAATTGGGTCCTCGTAGGGAATTGTTTACATATCTTCTAAGAACACTAAACATGCCTAAAACTAGAAGTGGCTTAGTGCATTACAGAAAGACTGTATTACCAGCAAGACTGTATAATATGTTATCTGTGCTTTGACATAGAATTACCATTGTTCCCCACAGGCTGCTGGCCCCAGCATTAAAAAATAGCAAGTGCTAGGTACAAAGGGAATGCCCAAGGCCCCAGCTGCTTGGGAAGCGGAGGCAGGAGGATCACCTGAATCCAATAGATTGTGACAGCCTGAACAACCTAAGAGGTTCCAGACCCTTAAAAAGGAAGAAGATAATAGGTAGACACCTCTTTTGTACACCATAGCCTGCCTTTTCTGGCTCTTCATCTTTTCCAATGTATTCTATTTCTCTGTACTTTAAGCAAATAAATTTAATTGATTTTTTTTTTTTTTGAAGCAGAGTCTCAGCTCAGGCTGGCCTTGAACTCAACATGTAGATGAAACTGACCTTGAAGTCCTGAAATTCTTCTAACTCCACTTCTCAAGTATTAGGGTTATCTTCATGTACCTCAATACTCCTGGCATACAGCAAGAGACGTTGAAAACAAATTACAAAATGCTCATTTACACCACAAGTCTAACTTCTATTATCTAAGAATTAACAGAATTAGTTCATGTGATGTGCTTACAGTAGGCTGAGCACCTGAGAGGCATGGTGTAAGTACAGCATCTCATAAGCCATGTTGCCAATACTGGTTCCAATCGGTATTAGTTGTCTGGCTTCCTTACTAGTTTGGACTTGGTCATCTTTCATGTCCTAATTTGGATATAATCCATGTGTTCTACCTGTTGGAAAATAGCAAAGCAGTTCTTAGTGTACTCATTAATAGATTGTAAGCAGGTATTTCTGATAGTGTAGTGGGACCTATGAAGGCACATACACCCTGGAACAACATTCTGAGATACTCTGATCAGATAGATGAAAGAGTGAATTCTTCCACATTTACCTGCTGTGTCGTTTGAAGGAATCTCCCCAGCTGTCTTAGTTAGGGTTACTATTGATGTGATGAAACACCATGACCAAAGCTACTTGGGGAAAAAAGGGTTTACTTAGCTTATGCTTCCACATCACTGTTCATCACTGAAGGAAGTCAGGACAGGAACTCAAGCAGGGCAGAAACCTGGAGGCAGAAGCTGATGTAGAGGACATGGATCAGTGCTGCTCAGTGGCTTGTTCTTCATGGCTTTCTTATAGCACCCACGATCACCAACCTAGTGGTGGTACCACTGGGGTACCGGTGGCCTTCCTCCACCATCCACTAATTAAAGAAATATACTACAGGCTTACCTTACGGAGGCATTTTCTCCATTGGGATTTCCTTCTATCAGATGACTCTAGCCTGTGTCATGTTGACAAAATAACTCCAGCCCTTCATAGCAAAGTCAGATAATCTAAAAATAATTAGCTTGGTGGTTATTAGAACCTAACAAAGTTGGCTGTGGTGACTCATGCCCATAATCAAACACTTGGGAGGCTGAGACAAAAGAATACTGAGAATTTGAGATCAGCCTGGCCAACATTGCAAGAACCTATCTCAAAACGAAAACAGAATCACATCGGATGTAAGTGAATTCATAAAATGCTGTAATTCCTAGACTCCTGGGCTAAACTTGGCTTAATATGTTATGTCTCGCCGGGCGGTGGTGGCGCACGCCTTTAATCCCAGCACTCGGGAGGCAGAGGCAGGCGGATCTCTGTGAGTTCGAGGCCAGCCTGGACTACC